GGTTTTAGGGTTTAGGGTTTCAGCCCGGGACAGGAGTTCAGCGAGGTGATGTTTGAGTTTTTTGGATCAGGCACCGCTAATCTCCGAAGCCGAAGCCCCAAAGCTGAATCCCCGCGCCGTAGGCTCTCACACCAAAGGCCCAGATAGCAGATATTGTGATTCATACAAGACTTCCTCCAGAATTCAAGGGATCTTCCTGGCTCAAATCCCTAGACGGCCGTAAACTCAAGACCTAAGGAATTCCCTGGCGTGACTTCAGCGACAAGTGGAGTCCGGCTACCGGTGAGCAGACGACTACATGCGCTGAGGCAAGGTTTTCATAAGGCCATGAGGATTTTGTCGGTGTGTGGAAAGTTTTTCGTTGTTCAGCGGGATGTCCCATAACTCGACCCCCTGATCACATGAAGTGTCTGATGTATGCTCGGAATGTACACGGACCCACACTTTGAGACTTTAGGATTCAAGAAATTCTCAAGTAGACCCCCAGGTAACATGTGACACCCGACACTCCTTCAACATGTATTGTCATGGGCTGATTTGCAATTGTTTAGAATTTGGACTCCCAGTGCTTAAGGGGTTTGAAAGCTTTAACCCTCACACCTAGGAAGCCTAAACGCCTTGACCCCCAAAATCCTCAAGCCCCCTTAAACGGCACCTTAAACAGGCGAAAACCCACCAACACCCGAAATAGGCTTCATTTTGTAGAGGTTTGGGGCTTCAGCCTAAACCCTAAACACCCCTCAACCCTAAACTCTAAATAATATAGGGGCCTTAATAATTAGAACAGGGTTTTGGAGTATCACCCAAAATCCTATTCTAGTGATTACGGCCCCTATATTGGGGTGATTGGGGCTTGGGGGTGCTTAGGGCTTAGGGAGCAGGATGCCTCCGTGTGCCCCACGGCCCAACGCCTTGCGGCGATCAAGCGCATTGAAATCTGGGCCGAAGGCCCATTAGGGCTTTAGGGGGTTTAGGGCCTTAGGGCTTTGGCGAACCCTAAACCCTAAACCCTAAACCCTAAACCCTAAACCCTAAACCCTAAACCCTAAACCCTAAACCCTAAACCCGGCCTTGGGGTTTGGGGCTCAGGGTTCAGGGCTTGGGGTTTGGGCTCAGGGCTTGGGGTTGTGGGCTCGGGGTTCAGGGCTTTGGGTTTAGGGCTTGGTTTAGTAAATTTAGGGATAATAGAGGGGCTTCAATAATTAGAATAGGGTTTGGAGTATATTAATACTATAATTAGAATTATAATATCGAACCCCAAAAGCCTATTCTTATTAAGGGTTTAGGGCTTTAGGGCTTAGCGGAGGGCCTCCACAGGGCTTTTGAAGAGGCTTTCAGGGTGAGGCTTTATGTCGGATCTGCGTTTCTTCTCTTCAGTGTGCTTAAACTTGAGCTTGTAGGGCTTCGGGCTACCCAGAGACTCCAATATCCTTTAATTAAGGAATATACCTTAAATCATATTAGGGATCCTACTATAATTTAAGGTATATTCCTTAATTAAGGGACATTGGAGTCTCTGGGTAAGAGTCTGTGAGCAGGAATTCGAGGCATTTACTTTGGGATGCAGGCTTCTGGGCTGTCGATTACAGACCACGGGCCTTTCTGAAGGAAACCCCCGAAAGGTGACGAATATAGGGACCTATAGTATAGGGACCTATAGTATTTTGGGGTTCCTTCGTCTCATTATACTATAAAGGTGCCCAAAACCGTATTCTAATTTATTCATTAAGGCCCTTGCACTATGGATCTGGGCCCAGGTTGGAAGTTTGGTGTCCCCTATCAACCACCGGAAACTGCTGCGAGATAAACTAGGGTTGACTATTTTCGGGTGATTTTGGTGAGTGCAGATGGACCTCCTTAGGTATGCTGGTGAGAGCAGATTTGGGGTGCGCATGGTGGACTCGTAATCGCCGTCCCACTTCACATAAATCTTGAGGACATCCGCAGATTCGGAAACTTAAGCCTTCGAAGCTTCCCTTGAAGGACCCCTTAACAGTCACCACGGTTTAGGGTTTAGGGTTTAGGGTTTAGGAGCTCCGAACTTTCGACTCGTCATCGTTCATGCTGCAAGGCGTCGCGGGACACATCCACCTCGAGGCGGACGGTGCGCAGTTTGGGACTGTGTGCGAAGTGTGTCAGCGCCCCGCCCCTAAGACACTGCCCGCCTACGTCCAAGTTCCCGAATCCAAAACCGTATAAGACCCAAGCGATCAGCTGAAAGTCCGAAGCACAGCCTCGTAGCCCACAGAGGTTGCCAAAATTGCCTGTGGCACCTGCATAGCATAGTCCATGTCTGGCAGAGTTCCAGGACGTCAGAGATAGCAGAAAGTATAGAAGTCCAAATAATTCGTTCGTCGTAGTATTAAGGGTTTTGGGTTGAGGGTTTAGGGTTTAGGGTAGTATCCTCTTAATAACGATTAATGATTACGATAATGTACACCCAATCCCCATTGCAATCAGTGGGGCCCCTGTTGTCGGAAGTGTTTTATTCCATCTTACCAATCTTCCCAAGTGGTCCAACGGGCTTGGGGTTTAGGGAGGTATGTAGCATGTATGTATGGACGTACGTATGTATGCAAATAGGTAAGTATGCAAGTATGTATGTACGTATGTCTGTCTGTCAGTCTGTCTGGCTGGCTGGCTGGCTGTCAGCCTGCCTGCCTGCCTATCTGTCTGTCTGTCTGTCTGTCTGTCTGTCTGTCTGTCTGTCTGTCTGTCTATGTATGTATGTATGTACGTATGTACGTATGTACGCATGTAGGTATGTATGTATGTATGTATGTATGTATGTATGTACGTATGTACGTATGTACGTATGTACGTGTGTACGTATGTACGTATGTGCGCATGTACGTACGTATGTATGTATGTATGTATGTATGTATGTATGTATGTATGTATGTGTGTATGTATGTAATAATGTAATGTAATGTAATGTATGTATGTATATATGTATATATGTACGCAAACACTCAAACCCAAATGAGAAACTCTACTTCTCTAATATTGTATACCTGCTCGCAAATCTCAAAGCCACAAACTCTGCAGCGTAGAAAGCCCTAAGTGAATCGTTTGCACGAAGCCCACATCGCTTCGAGGGACGAGACCTAAGATCACAAAATTTGCTTGTAGCGTCAGTGAGCAGAGACCTCAGTACCTATAGTTGTGCTTCCTGACTGACCTGATCCTCCAAGCTAGACCTTAGCCTACACCCTGTACCCTAAAACACGTGCGCGCCAACAAATGCAACGGCCTAAAACCCTGAACTTTATGAATCCCAAACTCTACACCCTAAACTTAAGAATCCAGAACCCTTAACCCTAAACCCTAAACCCTAAACCCTAAACCCTAAACCCCTAAACCCCAAACCCGAAGCCCGAAAACTTGACCGCAGGTCAAGTCGATTGCAGCTCGCGCGACTCCTCCAGCTTCGCTTCAGGCAGTGCCCCCGGCCTTCAACAGCTGCCGGAGTCCCATCCAGCAGCTCGGCACCCAGCCTTATAGAGGGTTTAGGGTTTAGGGTTTAGGGTTTAGAGTTTAGGGTTATAGGTGGTGGCTTGCGTGTGCCTTTTTGAAGTGCGGTTCTACGGGGTTCATCAGGGTTTAGAGCCTTAGAGCTGACCTCAGCAGCCATGACATGGTTATCGTTTAATTTACACCAGAACCCATTCAAACTCCTAAGGTCTTAAACTTAATAGGCAGGTTATTTGGTAGAGTAGATGCAATTGGACATGCAAAGTGTCAATTCTCTCAATGTTGTTTTACTGTGTCTCTCTCTCTCTGTCTCTCTACATGGTTGTCACAGGTTTCTTGTGTTGAGGGTTTCATAGCGTGTTTTAAGTGTTTCGCAAGCAGTTTCTACGGGTTTCGAAGGATTCTATGAGGTGGGTACCCTGTCAGGCGCCAGCTGCGGTACAACATCTCCAGCCGAACAGAGCCCACTGTTCCCGTCCCGGTGGACGCTGGGCCTAACGAGACTTTAGAGTCCGGTTGAATTTGGAAGATGTTTTGCAGGTTCTTTCTGGAGGGTTCTGGCTAGGTTTAAGTCGGGCATAGGTACGGCTATTTTGGCTGAGGTCGTCGAGATTTTTTTGCGTCGAGATTTTTTTGTTATATGTGGAAGAAGTTGTGTTTGCCGGGCTTGCCATCCTCCTTTCTAAGTTCCAAGAAGGTGAGGGTGTGTAGCATGGGAGGCGCCGACATGCTGCTGAAAGAAGCGTATTCCTAACTGTAGCCGGGCCCGCGCATTCAATCACCTGCCCTTCCAAACCCAGAAACCTTGTGTTCGCTGCCCTCAACTCTACACCCCGACGCTGCTCTAATCCCGGTAGAGGCAATACAGCGGCCTGAACATCTGCATGTGTTAGAAGATAAAGCCCAAACCGCATCTAGTTATGAAGGCACGTACCTTAAGCTCTTATGATACCCGTTATCACAGCCGCTATATATCCTCTACATAGGAACCCTCTTCTACTTCTTAGGGCCCCTATGTCCTGTCTAAACGCTTCATATTCCTTTGGACAGCGATGGGGTTCCTGACCCACCAACCAGATCCTCCTGCCCAAAACCCGAAATACGGGATGTACGCCCTAAGCCCTAAAGCCCCAAAGCCCCGATGCCCTAAACCCATGAGACCCGAAGGCCTAAAGGCCTATTAAACCCTAAAGCCCCAAAGCCTAAAGCACTAAACCCTAAAAAGCCCCAAAGCCCTAAACCCCAAAGCCCCAAGGCCTAAAGCCCTAAACCCTAATCCTAAACCCTCAAGCCCTAAAGCTCCAAAGCCTTAAACCCTCGAGCGCGAAAGCCGAAACAGGGGATCCATGCCTTCAGGGTATCGTACCTTGGAGTATGAAGGGTTTAGGGTTCAGGGTTTAGGGTTTAGGGTTTAGGGGAAGTGCTCAGCTCAAGGGACTAAGAGGGACCCTTAAAGGGACCCTTGGTGTTATATAGAGGCTTTATGGGACCATATAAGGGTTTTTGAGGGTTATATAGAGTATTTGGATTAGGGGTCCCTTCTAGGGTCCCTCCTAGTGTCCCTTAATCAGCTCTCAACTTTCAGAGGCTCCAAGAGGGCCCAACAACCACCCCGAAAGCCAGACCCCACAAGCTGTCTGTCTTTAGGGTTCAGGCTTCAGGGTTTTAGGGTTTTCGGGTTGAGGGTTCAGGGTTCAGGTTTCAGGGTTTTAGGGTTTTAGGGTTGAGGGTTTAGGGTTCAGGTTTCAGGGTTTTAGGGTTTAGGGTTTAGGTTTCAGGTTTCAGGGTTTTAGGGTTTTTGGGTCTAGGGTTTAGGGTTCAGGTTTTAGGCTTTGAAGGCCAAAAGTTGGTAACCCAATAGCCTCAATCCGTAAGAGTAACTTATAGGGAATCCCAGCAAGCCAGAGCCCACAAGCTGTCTGTCTTTAGCGTTCCGGTTTCAGGGTTTAGGGTTTAGGGCTTTAGGCTTAGGTAGATACCCTACCTACCCAGAGAGCCCAATACCCCTTAAATAAGGAATATACCTTAAATTATAGGGGCCTTCATATCATGATTTAAGATATATTCCTTAATCAAGGGGCATTGGGCTCTCTGGGTAAACCCTCAACCCTAAACCCTAAATACACGCCCTTCTAAACCCCTAAACCCTAAACCCTAAACCCTAAACCCCTAAACCCCTAGACCCTAAACCCCTAAACCCTAATGCAAACCCGATAGAAAGCCTAGCCTTCGGACAACTCCTCGGCCCCGAGGGCCCTGAAGCCCGGAAGCCCCAAACACCCCAACCCCAGCATTCCAGGCCCGAAGCTGCGAAGCCCCTGAGGTGTAGGGTTTAGGGTTTAGGGGTTAGGGTTTAGGGCTGAAGCCTTAAAGCCCAAAGCGGAAAACCCGGAGGCCCCAAAAGCCTCAAGCTCCAGTACTGTAACGCCTAAATTCCTACAATAAACACTGTAACTGAACTTTTCAAGGAACCGTTAAGCGATATCCTCAAACCCCAAAGGCCTAAACCCTAAACCTCAAACCCCCAAACCCTAAACCCTAAACCCTAAACCCTAAACCTTAAACCCCCAAACCCTAAACCCTAAACGGGATCCTCAAACCCCAAAGGCCAGAAAACTCTGAGGACCCTTCGGAGAGCCTAGCAGAAGCCATCTGCTGCGACAACCGCACGAAGGCCCCGGAGTTGTGCGGAGTTTGTTTAATAAAGGGGCCTTAACGGGTTTAGGGTTTAGGGTTTAAGGTTTAGGGTTTAGGGTTTAGGGTTTTTGGTCCTTAACGGGTTTAGGGTTTAGGGTTTGGGGGCCTCTTTGTTGCCGAAACTATTTTGGGGGTTCCTTGTTATAAGTATAGTAAAATATACCCCAAAACCCTATTCTAATTAATCAGGCTATATTATTCTCACCGGTCGTTGTTCGTAGAGGCTTTCTATAAAGGCTTTCCAACATCGTTATATGGAATGTCAACAGCTTTGTTTTAGTGGTTTCTACAGTCTTCCAGGGTTTCTATAGGTTCTCACTCTTTACAGGGTTTCTGCGGTTTCTCTGGGGTTTTATTTCGGGGGAGTGTCTGTACTTGACGGGATCAGGGAACGTAGCAAATAGGGCCACAAGGAGAGTACACCCAACCCGGCTTAGGACTTTAGGGTTTGGGGTTTAGGGTTTCGGGTTTAGGGTTTGGGGTTTAGGATGTGGGGTTTGGGGTTTTAGGGTTTGGGGTTTAGGGTGTTAGGGTTTGGGGTTTAGGGTTTAGGGTGTGGGGTTTTAGGGTTTAGGGTTTAGGGTTTTAGGGTTGGAGGTTTAGGGTTTAGGGTTTTAGGGTGTTAGGGTTTGGGGTTTAGGGTTTAGGGTTTAGGGTTCAGGGTTTGGGGTTTAGGGTTCAGGGTTTCGGGTTTAGGGTTTGGGGTTTAGTTTAGGGTTTAGGGTTTAGCAATGCAGGGTCTG